ATTCGATCAGCATCATATTATTTTTTAAATGGATTACTTGGCATTGACTGATGAAATTTCTGTTCCGGTACTTTTTTCATCTCAATCGCTCGCCAAGGATTATTTATTGTTATGAAGGTTCATTTTAAGTTACAATCTCGAAAACTAGATTGTGAATTCTCCTGAAACCTTCTGTGCTTGTAGAGACTTAAATTTGGAATCAGTCGCGAAGTTTTCGCTACGATGATTTCTCGTTGATAGCTTTCACAGCTACATTGATTCTGTTCGTTTTTTGCGCATTTACGAAACCCAACGAACGTTTGGTGACTGAACAGCAGGGTGCCACCTGTCCGGGTGTCACTTGTCACGGAGTCAATTATCTTGTACCTGTGGGACGTAATTATTTGTGATCATAAGATTTGGCTGGCGTAAATCTCGAGATGTCGCGACCTGAACATTCGGGACCTCCGGAATTGGTAGGTGGAACATTTTAACTCATTGTTATATGATTAAAGTATTTGTTGTAGTCAGTAATTAATAGTGTGTCGTTGCCTCTATTCCAGTGGCACCACTTATGTAGCCTCTAAATGTTACTAGTGTTCAAACGATAATTGAAATTAATTAACAGATCAGATTTATTCATTTCAGTTTTACAATGCACAAGAATCATCAAAATACAGTTCGAAGTGAGTTAATATCTTCTCAAATATCTTTTGATAACATTATTTTATACAATAATAGAATAAATGTTGATGAGTGTATGGATAAAGTTTAACAGATTAATATCCATTTGTATTGGCAGAATGTTTGATTGCGATGAAGCTCACTTTAATTTTCATTTAGCTCTCATATCATATCAGTTCAATCTGAAATGTCAGCAAGGGCGTTGGATTTATTAGCACTTGGAGATGATCAAGAATCATTTATATTAGATATAGGTTGCGGCTCAGGACTTAGTGGTGAGATAATCTCCGAAAGAGGACATCATTGGGTTGGTATTGACATCAGTGAGTCTATGTTGAGTAAGTTGTTCGGTTTTTTTTTTCTCAGCAATAAAATTTTATTATATTTATTCATATTTAATGTCGAATTGCTAATTTATTAACGATTTCTTTTTTATCATTGAGTCTATTCATTTTTGTAACGCAGAGGTGGCGCAAGAGGACCGTGAAGTGGATGAAGATCTGATACTGAAGGATATCGGTACTGGACTGCCGTTCCGGGCAGGCACATTTGATGGTGCTATCAGGTACACTTAAGAAGACTTGTATTTATACATGCTTCATAACGGTTATTACAAATTCACTTGCAGTTTAGTATCTCAGCAATTCAGTGGCTGTGTCATGCAAACGCCAATTGTGAAAATCCACGAAAACGATTGTTACGATTCTTTCAGTCTCTATACGCTTGCTTGGTAGTTTACTATTGTTATTATTTCGTTCTTTGATTCCTATAAACAGTAGCCTATGATGTGCGGTCATCACCCCGGCCTCTTCAAATCGAAGTGAACGAGTTGTAGGGTCGTGGGACGCGTGCGGTATTCCAGTTCTATCCAGAGAATGCGGATCAAAGTGAACTGATCAGCAATCAAGCAATGCGTGCTGGCTTCAATGGTGGTCTTGTTGTCGATTATCCCAATAGTGCCAAGGCCAAAAAGTTACTAATTCATCTTGTTTGCAATTTTGTACTGCATTGTAAGGCTTAAAGTATGAGGCTTCTAAAACCTCTGAAGTCTTCGAGTGTCGGGATCCTTAATCCAACTTTCACCGTTCTCATGTGCTCATTGCCGTGTTCTCGTGTTCACTGCTGACGATTACTTCTCTACTCAAACAGATGTATGTGCCCCTCTTTAGAGTGATCACATCATCACATTTCAAAAGTATGCCAGGATTTTGCATGAGCTTAGTTTCAATCTAATATCATTCATTCCAAATATCCAATTATATACATCATTTTTTTTCATTTCTGTTAGCATCTACGATCACAACTTAAGTCAAATTCATTAATGTAATTAATACCATATTAATTCAGAATTTATTTGGTACTAATGACTGGTGGAGTGCAGCAATTACCCAGAGCATTGATAAGTGGAAATGATACCTCTTCACAAGTTTCAAACATCGCTCGGAGGTATATATATTGAATATAATAATATCACATACTTTAAGTCGTTTTCGCTCGAAAATCTCATCATTTTTATTCCAGCATATGTCATCAGTCAAATATCAGCTCCATTTGTTTATGAGTCGTTCTTATTATATTAAGTAAATTTGAATATTACTCTTAAAATGTGCATTGTTTGATGTAACTTATTGTTTATTCACTATCAGTAAGAGTGGATCATAATTGAGCAGTCAATCGCTATCAATTACTGTATAAGGCATACAGCTATTCATTGATAACAAACACTGATTGTTTATCGACATTTTGAACCGTATTATAAGAACTTGGTTTTCAGAGGGTTTTCAGTAGGTAGAAGTGAGGGAAACAAGCGAATTAAAGGGTCGAAAGAGTGGATCGAAGCAAAGAAGGAACGCGCCAGAAAGCAAGGAAAGTGAGTTGTGTTGCTTCTTAAGCATTATCTCCTTAAGCAAAGATGAAACGCCAGAGTTGTAAGAAGTTATTCTGATTCAGTGTCATCACACCAAGGGGTCCCTCTCATCTCATAACTCTTATTCTCATCCAGAGTGTAAAGTAATAGTTTACACCATCTTTGCTAAAGTCGCGAATCAAAAATATTGAGTACGAAAACATCTCTTTTAACATCCAGTATATTTTTTTACCGAATTCATTAGTCAGTGTGATACCGTCGAGGGCCTGTTAATTATGACATCAATTACTCGTTAGTTTTAGATATCACTAAATAAAGCGATAGCCATTATTACTAAATGATAATTATTACTTAATTACTGCTTTAGTCATCGTTGCTCACAGATACCCATGAAAACCACAATTGTCCACAGTTATCATTACCTACTTCTGGATATTTCTAACCAGACCTTACAGTTTATTTCTGAACTCTTTTTTATTCTATCATTTCAGACAGGTGCATGAAACATCCAAGTATTCGGGTCGTAAACGTAGGAAGATATTCTGAAGATGTACGAATGTTGCTCTTTACGTTTACATTTGTAATATGTTTGTTGATTTGTTGTTTGTTATTGTGTTCATATTTTTACTGTGAAGTGCTCGCAGTTGCCATTTAATGAAATAAATAATTTCGTCATTAACTGATCGCAGTTCGTTTCTTTCAGGTTATAAATATTTTCGTAAAATGCCGATGTAAAATGAATACCTTTGAGTAAAAGTTTTTTAATCTTTTCGTACGAATTGGTAGCGATGTGCACTTCAGTTTATGTTTATTTCCGGTCGTAGTAGCGAAAAATCCTCCAATCATTTTAGAATGGCGCAATTTGAGAAGAAATTAGGCCAGCTTAGTCAAAAGTTAGAGTTTTGCGTGCATTATGATGTGGAATTTAGTTAGTGCTAAAGTTCATCCGTAATCCGGATCTGAATCTAAGAATGGTCGGAGGCCGAAGTCTGATCCCGAACTTGTGCAGTAACATAATCTAGCCCGTAAACAGCTTCCCTGTATCAGCATTGACCCATCCTGTGATATATTTAACGGCTCGTGTCTATGCATAGGGTAGTAATGGTGTACTCAGAGTTGTATTGATGATGGAAGTGTGCATTGTGATGCGATTCTTGGCAAAATCGCACGTTGGTTCAAGTGCGCAATGCGATGGAGGGCATCACTATGGGTGCCCGCATCACCTAATTCTATACCCACACTAACTAGCTCTCGCATACAAAATAGGTTGAAGGGCAACGTAGCGTAAGACTGAGCCTAAAACTAAACTTAAGTTTGAGTCCAAGTTCGAGCCTGAGCCTAAGCCCTGAATAAGAACCTCACAGTGATATGAGTTGGTTTAATACGTACCTCAGCCCGATATGAGCCTCAGCCTGAGCCTATCAATAAGTCGAAATACCAAAGTTTGATTATCATCAGTTGACCTCACGTTATTCAAAGAATGTATATCTGGTTTGCGGGACTGAATAGCCGGGAAGTATACTGTAAGGGTGCTAAATGTAGATCTCTCTGGAAGACCCCCCTCTGTAAGCCTGATATTTTAGGGAAGCTGACAGTTCACCGAGTACGAACGGAATGACAGTTCGCTGAGTGACGGAAGTGGGATCTTCATTTGGTATATGTTCAGAAATGTGAATTTCCTACCCATTCAACGGGAATAAGTGCGGGCAATTCATACATAATTTTGTAGCGCACATCCAGGAGAATAAAACATAACTGCTGATAGATTTGCCGGTGATGGAGATATATTCGAGATTTTCGATTTCGCGTTAAGTGCAAAAATTCAAC